GTGAGATATGTATAGCAAGAAGTATCAGGGTAAATAAGAGGTGACCTCTGCCCCTTCTGAAAATAATCATTCGCAAATACCATTAACTCGAGGTCTGTTTTTATTTTTTTGTTTAAAAAAATCTATAGGAATAAATGAGCCATAGAACCTACAGAGGCTGTCAGAATGCCTGTAGACAAAAAGTCTTCATAGAACAAAGTTAAACTTCATGCCCTGTTCTCTTCCTTTTAAAGCAACCTGGGTGGTGGTGGCGGCGACTCATAGCAACCCTATGTACAACAGCCCTAAACCCTGCTCTATCCTGTGCCAATCACATTGCCTCTAACACACCCATCCCAATTACCCCAGTCACTGAATCAGTCCACCTCATAGAGGGTCTTACCCTCCTGCGCTGTCCCTCCACCCTACCAAGCATGATGTCCCTCTCCAAGGACCTGTCTCTCCTTGCAACATGTCCAAAGTATGTTAGATGGAGCTTTAGAATCCTTGCCTCAAAGGAGCAGCCAGGTTCGACCCTTTCCAGGATGAATCTGTTTGTTTTCCTAGCAGTCCATGGTACCCTCAATACTCTTCTCCAGCATCACAGCTCAAAGGCATCAATTCTCCTCCTATCCTCCCTAGTCATTGTCCAACTCTCTGATGCATAACAAGTGATTGCAAAGACCATGACCTGTATCAGGTACACCTTAGTCTCCAGAGAGACACCGTTGCTCTTGAGTGCTTTAGAGAGGTCCCTAATAACAGACAGTGGTCAAATGTTTCATCAACATTGAGAAGAAAAATCCTGGCTGTCTGTTCCCATAAAGATTATAGCCTAGTTTGTAAATTACTAAATAGATATATATGACAGGAAATGCAATATCCAATAAGAGTTTTATTAGATATTTAATTAATTACATTAATAAACTTTAATTAATGTTATGAAACAAAATATGAATGATGAGTTAAAGCACAGCATAGTTTATAAGCTCTTACTCAAATAAATAAAAATCCCAAACAAACAAAAAAAGATTACAAGCTTGGAAACACTAATATCAGGAAGGCTTGCGGACAGTTTTTAATCAGGAGAAATAGAGATTTAATCTTAAACCATCTAAGATTGACGTATTCAGTATGTTTTTCATTGTGTAATACTTCTTATGCTCTTCTGATAAACTTATTATTATTAATGGTCCTAAAAATGAGAATTTTTGTTTGTTTTGGAGAAAAGGAATTTTTCTTTTCTTCAATAAATTTTTGCAACACAAGTTCATATTTTTTTGTTTCTGCTTTATGATGATCAGAACCCGCAACTTGAATCCTTTTCTACTTGAGACACTAAAGGGTAGGTGAGGCTTTTGTGGGAAGATGAAGACAGGCTTGTAGCTGGAATGCACTTCTTTAAATATTGTTTTAGCTCAGCACTAGTTGCAGGAACACAACAAGCTTTAAAATTCCATAAATATGATTTCCTTTTTTATGGGAGGAAGAGAGCTCTAGAGAAGCAAGCAGTAGTAGGAAGGCCTTAATGGAGGCAGTACAAAATACAAGAGGTGTGGGATGGTGTTAGTTAACATTTTGATTAACAAGTTAATGATTTTTTCCCCTTCATTTTTGAAGATACCACATCCATCTTCCACTTGCATTGTGATGACCTACTTTCTTCCTATAAGCCTTTTAGTGTTTACTGCTTTTCTGAAACTGTACACATATTTATAAAGATAGGGACTTAAAGAAAACTGTAGGTAGCACTGCTGTCTTCAATACATGGCTGTTTCAGCTCTTTATTTAGAAAACATTGCTAACATTGGAGGGAGGAAAAGTAGAAAATATTTTTTTCTTCCCTTCAGCAACCACGCTGAGAAGGAGACGTTAGGAAGTCAGCAACTTCTTAGATATACTGCTTTCTTCATCTCCAAACTGTTGAACTCAAAGGTGACTTAAGCCTCTAACAATCACTGATTATCTGTTTTAGAGGAAGGGAAAACAGTGAGGTGTCTCTATGTAGCTTAATTGGGGCTTCTTTATTCTTCTTGCTCATCAGCATGTAATGTGAAGACCAGAATTCAAAAGGGAAACAAAGACCCAACCATTGACTTTTCACTTCTCATTGCTTTTCTGGATCAGAATGATAATAGGATTTCTGTCCCTGTTAATCTGGCTGGGGAGGTAGTCACTAGGGGAACACAGATTACAGTTCTGCTTACTGATTTCCAACCTGTGTCAGTGTTCAGTTATTAATATTATTACAGTCAGTTTTTTGTGACAAACTGAACTTTGATGCCCCCTTAAGACTTAACTAAGAGAGAGAGAAGGGAAAAAAAACAACAAAACCAACCCCCCCCCAATAAAACCCCAAAAAAACAAACCCACTTATCTAACAGAATAGCCCCATCTTCAGCTGACTACCTAATTCTGAATAAGATAAGATGATACAGAGTGAAGGGAAAATACTGTCTGGTGGCCAAATGGCAAGAAGCTGCATTGCAGTCGCAAAATAACACTGTTCAAGTCCACCATCTGCTCCGTGAGGGGATGGGCAGTCTCCTCCCGTGCAATTAACTGCCTCTGAAAATTTGCCAGCAGTCAGCTGTGTGTCAGTTCTGACTTGGTGGTATATAACAGTCTACTTTGGTCAAGAAACTGAGGAGTAAGAATAATTTTATACAAGGATATAAATTTTACTTGGTGCCTTGAATGTTCTATCTGCAACTGGAAAAATACAGTCTTCCAAGTATCTTGAAAAATCTACAAGCAGGAGAAGATAAGATAGATGAATGGGGTCTTCTAAGTATCAAATCCCTATATACATAAAAAAACTTCTCCAGCAGGGTAAAAAGGGAAGCCACAGACTGAGCACACCAACAAGATAACGGTAAACAATACAATTGAAAATGGACTCAGGATATGACCAGACACTTCGAAGACGACTTTCAGATGGCCAGCACGTGAAGAAATGTTCAAAATCCCTAGCTCAAAGAGAGATGCAGATCAAAACAATATGTGATACCAGCTCACCCGAGTCAGAATAGCAGAATTTAACAGAACAGCAAGCAACAAATGTTGGCGAGGTTGTGGAGAGACTGGAACCCTTATTCACTGTTGGTGGAAGTGTAAAATGGTGCAACCACTGTGGAAGGCAGTTTGGCGCTTTCTCAAAAAGTTGCAAATAGAGATACCATTTGACTCAG